ACTTCAGGGGGGCCTACAGGAGAGATGGGGAGAGACTCTTGATCAGGGAATGTAGCGATAGGATGAGGGGTAACGGTTTCAAACTGAAAGAGGGGAGATTTAGATACTAGGAAGAAATTCTTTCCTGTGAGGGTGGTGAGACACTGGAACAGGTTGCCCAGAGAAGCTGTGGCTGCCCCTTCCCTGGCAGTGTTCAAGGCCAGGCTGGATGGGGCTTTGAGCAACCTGGTTTGGTGGAAGGTGTCCCTGCCCATGGCAGGGGGGTTGGACTAGATGGTCTTTATGGTCCCTCCCAGTCCAAACCGTTCTAGGGGTCTATGATCTTCTCTGCTGATACCTAAACCTACGCTTACCCTAGTGTTTACCCCTAGTCTGAAGGTGCTGCTCCAGTGTGGCTGGTTCAGTGCTGCTGGGGGTGGCTTTGGTGTGACTTGGATGAGGTGGCAGCAGAGCAACAGTGCTGAAATTATTGGAGGCCTAAGTGAGAAGCACCTGAAGAGGCATGCTCAGTGTCTGAGGATCGTGTGGGACTTGCTTAAAACGAGCTGTTACTGTACACCTCTGAGACACTTTCTGTGTCAAATTTGAGATAGTGTCCTCTTCTACAAATCTTTGGACACATCCTCCCAAAGGGAGGACGCTGTGCCCTCTCTAGCCAAGGGTTGGGTAGCTAACAAGCTGCAGCCCCAAAGCTGATGCTCATAGTGTTTCCTTTCAACCTAACAGGTCAAAGCAGCTTTTACACGTGCCTACAACAAAGAGGCACATCTGACTCCATATTCACTTAATGCTGTCAAGACATCTAAAAGGCAGTCGGGATCTGTGATGACCTTAGAACTGAATGAAGACTTGAATGTGGAAGAGACCCAGTCTGATGAGGATGAGCAAGATACTGTTGAAAGTGATGCAATGATTAAGGTGACTTAGTTTCCTCAGTGTTAAACTACCACACTAAATTGTTTCCTCTTAGTTACCTTTCTGGGACTTGTAACACCAGCTGAATTTAAAAAAACCCTACCCCACAGCAGACATAAAATACATCATCTCTCAGCCTTTAAATCCATAACTAGTAGCAGTGTGAAAAAGTCGACATTATTTCCATCTATTGCCTCCTGCTTGAATGTTGGACCACTGAGACATGGCTGCACACTCGCAAGTGCTGCATCCAGCTCGGAAGCGCAGCTGTAGGGGAGGCGGTGGTGGGTTGGTGCCGTTGGTGGGGAGCAGCCACAGGCCTCTGCCGGGGTGATCGCAGGCGGCAGTTCCTGTAACACCCTTGTACGTGCCGCCGGAGCGGGAGCTGCCACCAGCCCTTCAGCACCGGGAGGCTGCGCTCTCCCTGGCATCTAAAAACGTGGTACCCGGCGGGGAGGGGAAGCGAAGGGACAGCTTTTTCTCTCACCACTGATTGCATTTTGACTTAGGCTGCTGTGAGGTTGCAGTTTGGATTCTAAACTGTCTGTGTGTTCTGCTTGCAGCAAAAAAAGGCAAAGTCTTCCAAGCTGCCAAAAAGAGAGAAAAACGAAGAAACAACAAAAAAAGAAGGGAAAAGAAAAGAGAAAACAAGACGTTAAGCAGAATAAAAATCTTCCTCTGGATGCAGCTTTGCTTATCAAACCGCAGGCAGGAACATGAAACGGATCCAGCGCTGGAGCTGGGCAAGTAGAACTGGTGCGTTGAAAACGCTCCCCTTGCAGACGTCGTGGAGCTCCTGTACTCCCCCTCTGCACTGTGCTGTACTTCTCTTGCCGTGCTGCAGCGCCGCAAGCCATAGCTAGCCCGATGCAGCGAACGCCGGGGAGTGTGAACACGATGAGTTACCTGGCATTTACACTGTCTTCCCAGGCATTTACACCGTCTTCCCAGGCCTTCCCTACTCCTTTTATTACGTGGCGAACTCTTGTAAATAGTATGTGATGCAACCCCCCCAACCCTAAACTGCGTATTTGTACATTATAGAAATGGAGCAGTGTATAAAATGACAATAAAACGTTTCACAGGAGCGGTCTCTACAGTTTTGGTTAAGTTCCCGGAGCATTCTGTCTCTCCCCCTTTTCTTCCAAGGCTTTGCCTTTCCCTCATGTACAGGACCGGGTGTTGCTCTCTTCCTACAACTTGCCGTTTGCTCAGTTAGAGACGCAGAAGAGCAGAGAGGGATTTAGTTCCAAAACGTGAGGAGCCTGTGCTTGTAGGAGTTGTATCTTTACTTGGATCCAGAAAGGAATACTTAAAGAGTAAGAAATGTTTAATAGAAAATAGTTTTAAAAGTTCAGAATTGATGTTGAGAGGGCTGGGGGCTTTGGTTTTTTTGCCAGTCATGTGCCACAGACTGCCCCTTGGAGCTGATAAAATGCAACTTGTGCTTGGTAAGAAGAACTGTCAATCAGTTTTATTACTATAATAAATCAAAGTACAAAATTTATCAAAAGCTAAATATTTACAGGCTATCACAAAATAGAAATGATGTGGTGGTGATTATTACGCATCTTTTTTCCCACTAGGATTTCATGTAGTGACAGAGCTTTTCTTGCTGCTTGCCAGACTCCACACGCAGATCTGAAAACAGACAGAGGGGGTCAGTCATATCCCAAGGTACAAAGACAGGGGCAGCAACCTACAACCCTGTCTCAGACTGGAAAAAAAGAATTAAGTTAACAAAACCATGGTTATTGTGTCTATGACTATAATATCACTTGCACATTCCTCTGACAGTGTAAGTCAAAGCTTTCACAGAAGGTGTTTGCACTAGTACCTCTGCCTTCGTTGTCAGCATTAACTTTAACTCGTTTCCCATTCTTTTAACAAAACTGGTGTCTGGGATCGCAGTGTGTGGTACAGAGTGAGCAGGGGTCTCGCTCCTCTGAGATACGAGTATTTCAAGCCAATGCTGTGCTGCTGTTACCCTGTGATACCTGCCTATGTTCTCTTAAACACAGAAGCCAAGATCCTGTAACCTGCCTTTGAGGTCTGCTCCTTCCGGTGACCCTCCCTCTCTTCCTCCACTTACATACCGGCTTGTAGATCTGTAGGAGGATTTGATGATGCTGAGATCTTCAAACTGTGCTCTGCGCTACTGCAGCACAGCGGGTGGTCAGGAACATATTCCAAACCAGAACATGCTCCTAGAGGTAAACTGGTTTAAAGCCTCACAACTGGAGTGATTTAACAACCAGGTTCGTAGCAGTAGCAAAACCTACTGGTGTCTGCACACCTGAGGGCAAAGGGGTGATACAGCCCAGCCCAGGCTGCAAGTGAAGATTCGTGAACACTGCATTTCCCTTGCTGGGGAAAACCCCCCCTGTCCTCTAGGATGGGCTGTGTTAAGTTAATAAGTACTGGCTCTAGCACGTACCTGCATTTACTGGTCCCCCTCTTCTAGTCTGAGGTGCTCCGTGCAGTCATTTACTTTCTTAAGATGAGCAATGTCAATCCTTTGGGAGCACATGGGACACACGTTTTCGGTCTGTAACATGCTGTTTTAAAGGAAGGGCGACTGGTCAAACGGTAACTCTGAACGCTTTCAAAGGGAGAGCCGGGCCCGAGGCAGAAAGCAGTAGAGCAAAGTTCTGGCCTGCGCTGTGTAACAGGTACAGGCCAGAGCAACAGCTGCTTCTGCCTGGGGGAGCGAAGGGGGCTTGGCTGGGTTTTAGCGTTTGAGAACCCACGTCGCACCAGGCAGGCGGCTGCTGTTTGCATGGGCACAAGGTAAATCTGGCAATTAATTAAAACCAATACAAAGGAGGTCGGACAAGAACATGGAGTTTCTGTAGCTTCACCCTTCCTGACACCTGACCAGAGCTATGCCATCCCCTCCTCACTCAGGTGACTGGCAGGGACAAGAGGTTATTGCTCCTTAGTCAGTGCCCAGTACGGTGTATGCTTTGTTTTAGTGACTGCTGCTGTGCCCCCCCCCTGCATCAGGCCCCCTTCCTGGAAGGAGCTGAGAACACACCCGAGCTCCCCCTCCAGCCTCAGTGCTGACCCCGGTGCAGCCCTGCAGCTCTGGCCGAGTTCTTTACTGCAGGTTTTGGGCCACTTTGAAGCGATGTTCTGTGAGCGTGAGGGATGAAGCTACAATGTAAGGGGCATTCCTCTTCTGCCCTCCCTGCTCCAGCTGTTAACACATTTTTCAGTACAAAATGAAACAGTTTGCTGCTAAAATAGGAACAAACACTGGCATCCTGCAATAGAAAAAAAAGCACAACTTACTTCTTGAATTCCGAGTAGAGGGCAGGAAAGTCACAGTGGGGGCAGACCGTCCAGTCGTCGCGCACCATGTGCCGACCCTGCACGCAAAACCCACAGGTGGTTAAATGGCACGTGCTGCCCTCGTACGCTGGGCGCTCAGTGCTCGAGCTGCTGTTGTGAAACAGTCTCAGCCACTGAGTTCTGGAGAGGTGGAGGAATTAAAACCCCAAACCCGTGATGGTGTTACTGCAGTTTCATTACTGTGTAAATTCTGTACCTACAAAAGGAGCTCCCGGTGAAACACAGTGTTTTCGTTATAATTTGTGTTCCTCTTTTAAAAAAAAAAATAATCTAAGAACGTATTGAATTACAACTTTTCGAATTCTTTTTGTTTGGCAATTCTGGAACATTATCTCTAGATCTATGTCTAGAGACGTACCTAAATCTGCTGGGATTTGTTGGTGTTGCATATGACACTCAAAGATGCCCCCAAGGCCGCCTCCTGAGAGCCCAGCAGGTCGCAACTCAACGCTGTCAAGCTTGTGAGCACCATGACACAACCAGGTGCTTGACTCTTTAAACAGAAACTATTTCCTCCGTTTTGGTTTACTAAATTCTAAATTACTAAAATGACTAAGTTTCCTCTGGAAAGAATTCCTATCTACTTTTTCAATGCTATAAAAAAACCGCAACAGCACCTTGAACAATACTGAGAGCCGCAGGCTCTGACACGGCGTGCAGCAGCAGACACTGACTCATAAGACACTGAAAATGCTGCTTCCTAATGACATTGCAGATACCTATGATGTCAATGAACCGCCTGTGATGTCAATGAACTGCCACCAAGATAGAGCCTAAATAAACTGAAACAAACACATGAAATATGTACATCATGTTTGGCTCATAAAAGTGTATTTAAAAGTTGTTTTTTTTCCCTTAAGATAATGCTTCTAAAATACACCTATTGTCTTACTCTGCTAAACTAATAGAGTAAAAAAATAGATAACTGCTATTAATGTTTTTTTAAGACTTAATTCTTTAGTTTTAATAAAGAATGTTAACTCCACCTTGATTCCTGCTTCAGTAAATTTTGATTTTTCTGTAATTCTAGCGTGACAAATCACTTGAACCTAGTAAAAATAAAGTGTTGGTTATACAGTAGCTAACCTCAGTATAAAGATTTTGTACTGATACTGGTCAGAGTGGGATGCGTGGCTCTTCCACTGGGAAATGTACGCCACCCAGGCCTTTTTAGTACGCTCTAAAGTGTCCTGAAATAAAACTGTTAGAACTTCTCACTTCTGTAAGAAATGCTGAGGTCACGGCTGAACCATTACTTAACCCTGGAAGTGCCTAAAGAATGCTGTTAGCTTCTGGGCATCCCCCAAAACGGATTTTTGAGGTGGTGTGGGGTTTTTAATTTATTTTCTTAATATGAAGTCTTGGCAGCCCGAAGTTAGGGGAGGAGAGCTGTGCCCTCCACACACTCCTGTACGTGGAAGAAGAAAGGGCGGGGCGCCGGCGGCCGCCATCTCTGCTGTTGCTGCTGAGCCCTGGAGC